AACCAATCGAGCTGTTGAGGCCACCAACAAGAACATCAAGCACATTCTACAGAAGATAGTGGAAACCTACAGGGACTGGCCAGATAAGCTACCATTTTCCCTTTGGATCTACAAAACATCAATTCAGAGTTCTACTGGGGCAACTCCGTATTCTCTGGTTTATGGGATGGAGGTTGTTCTGCCGATCGAAGTTGAGCTTTCGGCGCTGTGAGTGATGGCTGAGTGCCAGATAGCGGAAACAGATTGGCAGCAGAGTAGGTTTGAGGAAGAATCGCCAGGACTTTTAACAAGAAAGTTAAGTCCAGGAATCTGAAAGAAGGGGATTTGGTTCTCAAAGACAACCGTGCTCCCATCTACGACCCTAGGGGCAAGTTCAGACCTAATTGGACTGGTCCTTACATCATCAAATCTATTTGGTCGGGTGGAGCTGTCATTCTCATGGACCTAGATGGCCTCGAATTCTCCCAACCAATCAACATGGATAAGTTAAAGAAATACTACCCTTGAGAGGCTCGCTAGGCCGAAAGCCCGAAAGGGGGACCTACTCAAAAGTTAGAACACAAAAAATTAGAAAAAAGAAAAACTGAGCTCGCAAGGTTGAAAACCCAGAAAGGGCGGCCTGGCAAACGTTAAAGCGTAAAAGGAGAGTGTTAAAACCCAAGTGAATCTGAACCGAACTATGTAAAGCTTGATTTCCATCTTTGGGATACGTAGGCAACTTCATTCTGAAGTCCAGCCATAAACACTTCCAAATCAATTGTGTCTATGAGATTGTTCTGGTCATATTTGTCTTTTCCGTATCCAAGAGTTCGGTTGTGATCTCCAGTGCAGTGCTATTCAGACAAGGGACAACTTTCCAGTTATTGGATTCGGGGTTGTACATCTAAAGGATAGCTTCCGGGTGTGTCCAGTTGTAATCCATTTCGAAAATGGTTTTGAAAAGTTTTAATAAAAGGTTTTTTGTTCAAATTAATCTTTTTACAACTTAGACGATTTTTGGACCAAAAAGAAAATTTTCAGTACCCACAACCTTCAATTTCGTTGATTTCAATACAGAGTTCTCCGACCTGTTGATACAAATTGAAGTTGCTTTTTACTACATTCAAAAGAAAAAATTGAAAGTACAGATTAAAGAAATAAACTTGGGGCATGGTTGAGTCAGGTGTTCCTGCGCCCTCTCCCAGAGCTTGTGGAGAGGCTTCAAATGCCAAAGTAGGCCCGGTTTGTGCCTCATCTTCAAGCCAAGCTATGCATTCTCCAGAAAGGGCACAATTGAAACTGGGAGCAGGGGCCAGAAATTCCCTTGTCCTCCATGCAGTGGAATATCGAGCTAGCTGTGAGCCTCGGATTGGAAATGAAGCTGGGTACTTTATCCTCTCTACTGGACAAGTCTGGTCATGCCCGAACTAACACTTGAATCGAAATGGAAAATAGAAGACACAGTGCATCAAGCCAACCAACTGAATGCCAGGCTGCCGGGACATGTTGTAGTTCATCTCAGGCAGATCAAACCAGGGGCAACGCCAAGCAATGTCAACAGCAGACCTATTTCACATCTAGTGGCACCACCATCCCTCGTTAGGAAAGTCAACTAGCCGAGGGCGAAAGAAATAACCGTGAGCTGAATATGCTAGGCAAGCGTCCACTACTTTCAATTTATCCATGAGCCAAATCTGGGGAGGGATGAAAAATAAGAGAGATTAAAGAATAGAGAGGTGTGTGTGAAGAGAAAAGTAAGAAAGGGTTTTGAGAGAAAAACAGAGCCTGAGGGCCGAGTGATGTGCGAAACACATGTGAGAAGGGTGGGAAACATTACCTGTAAAAGTAGTGGACTCCCTGCGAACTTGGTTGTCTCCCAGCGATGGAAAGCATCTAAACCCATCAAGGTCTCGGCCAATGTCAAGCTAATACAACTCTTGCCCTCTTTCAAGCCTTGGGCAACTTCGATCAAGTGAACGCTAGACCCTCCAAAGCTAGGGGCAAGCAGGAAATGAGCTAACACACACAAGCAAAGGGCATGTTGCCGAAAACCTTGACAAAGACGTGCACCGCGGTTGCCGGCATCAAAAAATCGATGAATCAAGCTAGGAATATCCAACTCCCTGTTATGAACCAAGGATCGAGCATCATGTAAAGTAAGCCCACATATTCGCCCTAAACCTTGGATATAGCCAAAACGAGACTGGGGCAAGATCTCTTCATCACGCCAAGATTCTATCAAAGCTTGGAATTCTTCGATTGTGGGACACAAATGAAACATGACGAATAACTTAGACTTTCCATAACGGAAGAGTTGAACTAAGTTTGATCTAGTTAGATTAACAGAGACATCGAGGTGGAAAACCTCGGCTAAGATTTGTTTGAATCAAACTTCAGAAAATTTGAAGATGCATGCTTAATGTGAACATAAGTGATACTTAGGTTCACATCAGGGGGCAGGAGGCAGGAATAAGGAATGGGCTTGACACTTGTTGAAATTTACAAGTTGGAGTCAGCCGAGGTATCCAGATGAAGGAAGCATGAATAAGCTTGACATTTGTTGAAATTTTTGGGAGGGGGTGGGGGGGGGGGGGGGGTGGAAGTGGAATAAGGGGAAAGGAAGAACAAGAAAACATGCTAGCTAGTGATAATACCATGTAATAACCAGCCATATATTCAGGAGTGGCACCAATCGGAACTTGTGAATCATACGCAACAAGTCCAACCTGCAAATTTGAAAGAAGGTTAATTAAAGCTAAACCAATACAAACAACACACAGATTGAAATAGAGAAAAGAGATATTGAAATTGATCGAACCTTTAGACGAAATCGAACTGCTTGAAGCTCTGAGACGGCGTAGAGATCAAGCACAGAGAGAGAGAGATAAGAGGCAGGAGAACCGTCGTAGGATTAGGGTTTGATAAGAAGAGAGATCAATCATGGAATAGAAGGAAGGGGTAGTGTATGTACCTGAAGGATGAGGTCGTCGTAGATATCGATGATCTTGTTGTAGGATTTGGAAGCCATTGTGTCGCTGTGGATCGCTCACGACTGTCAGATCTCGGCCTAGGACTCAAATCAAATTCAGATCTCGACTTTCTTCTCGGATTCGGTGCAGGCACAGGTGGAGGAGAAGGAGGAGGATCATCGACGATGTAGATGTGGCGATCTGTGGCGATAGGGTGAGGTTTGGCGGTGGAGGAGAATTTGAACAAAATGTTGTGTGTAATTGTAAACAGAGAACAGGGGTGGGCGCGAGATTTCCCTCTAAAAAAATTTCGCCTTTAACGACTAAATTCGTTTTTTGTCGCAAAATCTCAAATATATAACGACTAATTTTTTTAGTCGCCAAATCTCAATCAACGGTGACTAAAATATTAGTCGCTAAAAATATTAATTTGGCGACTAATTTTTTTTGGTTGCTGAAAATAAGTTTTTGGCGACCAAATTTTTGGTCGCCAAAAAATATGTGACCTTTCGCGACCAAATTTGTAGTTGGTTGGCAAATGCATACCACTTTCTGCGACCAACTCATTTTTTGGTCGCCAAAATATAACTTTCTGCGACAAATAATATTTGGTCGCCAAAAATAATGATCATTCGCAACTAATTAAAATTTGGTCGCCAAATGTAATTTTTTTGCGACCAAAATTTTTTTGGTCGGCAAAAGTGGTCGCAAAATGTGTAAATTCTTGTAATGATTTAAAATTTTGAAGTATTTAAAAGTAAGATATAAAGTTACATTTATGATTTGGTAATTTTAATTGTAATTCGGCGAATCTAGTCTTGTGTTCACGCTAGGGTGGCTGTGGTTCTGATGGCTCGCCCAACTCGTCCAACTTAACTCAACTCAATATTTTTAAAATTAAAAAAAAAAAAATTAACACAAAAAGTTGGGTTGTACTAAAATTTTGAATTCATTTAATTTTTTAATTGAATTGGGGATAAAAAGTTTTAGCCTGCTTAGCCTAATCCTTATATTTATAAAATATTTATGTTAATTTTTATATTATTTAGTTACAAAATAAACTAAAAAAATACTAAAAGATATAAAGAATTAAAAAAAAAAGTATAAAAACTTCTTTTTATAGCTTAAATTAAAACAATTGTCAAAAGACCATATTTATTTTTAACTTAAATTTTGTTAATGTTCCAAGTCTAAATAATTATTAAAAGTGTATAATGATTTAATTACCCGTTAAAGACAATAATAATAATAATAATTCATATCTATCAGGTTAAGTGGTCAAATTTGACATTTAGATATTTTTTTAAAGCTAGGTTGGGATGGCTAGATTAGGCCTGATATTAGGTTGGACTTATAATGACACTATATGCTTTTTTTATATAATACAAGTCCGGCTCAGTGTTTGTCCGCCCTTAATTTCTACTATTATTTCATAATCTTATATTTAAAATTCTATTAGCATTTGTGGTGTAGGAGTTATATTGTTATAGTTCTTCAAACTAATTTTCACGTGTACTTTGTTTTAAAAGAGAACAAGGTAGGCAAAACGTAAATTTGAAAACTTCAGTTTTGAATTTTGCTACTTTAGGCTTAACTTTTATTTGTTATTTGTAAGTAATTTCAAGTATTCAAAGTCCATTGCAGTAGGGGTGTGCACGGTGCAGTTTGGACGGTTTGAAAATAAAATTATAAATGAAATGGCAGATTGACAAATCGATAAATTGCGATTTGGATGGCTTTAGACGGATCAGCAGATTGAAAGCATTTGCATAATATATAATACTAATTTGCATAATATTTGTTATATATATAAACACAAACTAATTTTTCATATATATAATTACTAATATGTAATAAATTTGATATTACGGTAATAAATTTCATGAAATCAAGTCACAATAATAATATTTTACATATTTATGAATAATTTGATTTATGTAGTTGTGGTAGTATTCTTAATATTTCTGAAAGTAAAATTAATAATGTAAATCCAACATTTGGGTGGAGAATGAGCCCAAAAAAAGGGTGGAAAACAAAACAAAAACAAAAGCCTTCTAGAGAACACAACAAACTTCCATAAGCATTATTCAAAGCAAGAATGTGGAAGTTAAAGTTTTGTCATTCATTGGCAGACTTGTCCAAATAGTTGTGCTTTTCCTCACTAGTCATAAATGCGGTGACTGGAAACGACTTTCCAATCCCCAATGGAGTCTTGAAATAAATTTTCTGAGACGCAGGATCTTCGATGCTCATCTCAACAATGGGTACCCATAGCAAGAGCTGCTTGCTCTTCACACCCGTCATCTTCTTCATTCTGCCCTTTTCCACGTACGAAGTCACCTCCGCGGAGTAGCTCACTAGGGTATTAGTGGCCTCAAAAAAGTGCTCATAAGGAGCCTTCTGTTTCATCCATACAAATCCAGTTTCTCGAACTCTTCCACACTCTACAAGGTCTTTGAGAGGGAGGACACCTTTGGGGAATCCCAGCTCTTGGAGGAGCTCTATGGAGTGTTGGTAGCACTCTTCGGATCCGTGCACAATCTCAGCTCCTACACGGCGTCCATCTTCTTCACCAAACAACTTGTTGCTGTTGCCACGGCCAGCCATTTCCTTTATCAAATGTAAAGTAACTTCAATTGTGGATTGAGCAATGAACAAGTATGGTTTTGGGGGTTCAGTTCCTCTCAAATATATAGATATACAGAGAGGGTGAAAGATGGGATGTGGAGTATTATGAAGAACAAGGTTGTTCACTTACCAATAGTTGAGCTGAAAATGAATTAATTAAAAAAGGTTGTTCACCCAACAGCTCCTACTTGATGGCGTACTTGGTGGTGGCTCACCTATACATTGGTTGACGGTATATATAATGTTGGATAATCAAATCGGAAAATAAGACTTTTTCATTCACACGTAATTATAATCATATCACAATTGTATTGTTATATCTATACTATATATTAAGTAAAAAGGGATTTTTAACCCCAAGTCTTGTGGAAGTTCCAATCTCCTAATTTAAATTTCTTGATTTTTTGATTTAAAAAAAAAATAATCTTAGCATTTATTAACATCTCCCAACTCCTAAGTCTTACCCTCATAATAACACTTTAATGCATTAAGAACAAGTATAAAAAAAATTTTTTGAAATCCAACACATATGAATTCTTTGAAAAGTCCCAATACATATGATTATTATCCCTCATAATAACACTTTAATGCATTAAGAACAAATATAAAAAAAAATTTCTTGAAAAGTCCAACACATATGATTATTATCAAAATATTAAACTTTAATATTGTGCAGGGAGCAAATATTCAGGCAAGCCCGTACTCCTTTCTTCCAAGCTCTGCTTCTATCCGATCACCTGCGTTTACAAAGGCGGTGAGTTACCCGGCGGTGTGTGGCTGAAAAACCCCTCCGACGGTCAAGTTAGAACACACCTTAGGATAGAGAGAAAGAGAGAGAAGTGTTAGAGTGTAGAAGTTCCTTACAAAGTGTCCGTCTCCCACGTATGGGGGGCGCAGACATGCTTATATACCCTTCTGCGTCCCAAACCTGCTCCCAATGGACCCTCGACACGTGGCTCTGCTATCCCATTTGTCAGCACAAATCCTGCTGAGCGTCATCTAATCTCAACTGCCTGCTCACTCTATTGGGAGCTCGGCAGCCGAGCTGCACCATCTTGTCCGCCAACGGTCGTGCTATGCTTCATATCCAAGCACTCCACTAGCTAAGCTAAACAAGGACCGGGCTAGGCAACATCTCGACAAAGCCGAGCAAACAGGTACCTCGGCTGACCACGCCTTTCCGGGCGCCGGTCACTTGACTTGACTGGCTTCGCCTCCGTCAAACATGTAGCTCGGTCCAACCAAGTGTTGCCTTAACCGAGCAACTTCTTTCCAAACTGGGCCACACATCCTCAGCCCAACATTCTGTCCTGCCCAAATCTGTCCGGCCCAAATCTGTTCGGCATAACTCTGTATCATTAATCTCCCACTCAATTGCCCCTTAATTCCGTCTGCAAAAGCGTGACTGGGATTACTCACTTCGACCGGGATAACATTTCTTCGGTCTTCAGAATGCTAAAAATGAGCCTAGAACGGTGGAAATGAAGAAAGAAGAATCGGAATCAAATTCTGGTCAGTTCAAAGTGAAGAGAACTAGAGGGTTTTAGCGAAAAAAATGTTTTTAGGGTGTTAGAAAACGCATAGAACGCGTGGATCTAGAGACAATGAGCACCTAGAGAGCAAGGGAAGGGAATTTCGTGCAAGGGTTTGTGAGGAAATGGAGTGCCATCACATGTTTTTAAAGACCCAAGGGTGAAAGGACAAAAATGCCCAAATCTGGCAATGATGGCCGACAGGGGCACATTGATGGCCGGCAAGTGCCACCAATGGCCGGCAGATGGCCAGCGGCCTCCCTTGATGGCCGGCATGGTCCCACAAGCTTCCTATGCCTCTTTTTCTTTGATTTGTGTCCTTGGATTCCAATAGATGCAAGGTATGCTCAAAATTTGATTTAGAATATCTTCTCGGAAGCTCAGAATTGCGTTTCCAGTGTGCGGTGGCCATCGCTCATCAACACAAACAAGGTGTATCCTTTTTAACATATTGCAACTCTTCTGAGAGATAAATCAGAAGTTGCCTTTGAGTTGTCTTTATTAACGTGCTTTTGTCGCTGCATAGAATGTACATTTCTTTGTTGTCACATTGAATACGCATTTTGAATTGTTTCATAGAACATGCGTCACCATTATTGCATAGAATATGCATGTTGCATTGAATATGCATTATTGATTATCTTTGCATAGAACATGCTCCATTTCTTGCATGATGTGCATCAAGCATGCCTCTAACATTGTCTTACGGTCATTCGTCTCATATGGAATATGCATTTGTATTGTATTGTACTTGTTAAGTTTTCTTTTCGTGCAGGCACGATATTGTATGTACGGTTCATCCAAAGCTGGTGCAACCAGACGATATTGTATGTACGGTTCATTCAGCGGAATTCCAGGTAAGATCATTCCTATCCTTTGAATACCCTTGTTTTGGTTAGAAACACTCAAGTACACCCGTTGTTTATATCTCTTATATTCGTTAGAAACATTCGGGTATGCCCGGTGTTTACACCGACACCTCCGTTAGTTAGAAATATTCGGGTGTGCCCGGTGTTTACACTAACATCTCCGTTGGTTAGAAACATTCTGGTATGCCCGGTGTTTACACCAACACTCTCCTTTGGTTAGAAACACTCGGGTACACCCGGTGTTTATACCACCCTTTTGGTTAGAAGCGTTTGGGTCATGTGTCCGACGTTTATACCTTGTGTTGGTTAGAAACATTCGAGTATGCCTGATGTTTACACCGACACTCTCCTTTAGTTAGAAACACTCGGGTATGCCCGGTGTTTATACCTCTCCCTTTGGTTAGAACCGGTTAGGACTTTGGTCCGATGCTTATACCACCCCATTGGTTAGAAACATTCGGGTACGCTCGATGTTTATACCACCCTTCCGATTAGAAGCGTCTGGGATGTGTGTCCGACGCTTATACCACCCCGTTGGTTAGAAACATTCGGGTACGCCCGATGTTTATACCACCCTTCCGATTAGAAGCGTTTGAAGCATGCTTTGACGCTTATACGTGCTCTGATGTTTATACCACCCTTCGGTGTTTGCCTCGCTCCCTTTTCCCTCTCGCGCGTGTCGCGTTAGGATGATTTGGTTAAATGCATCTGGATGTATTCCAATGCTGATTGCATAACTCTTCGTTTTGATTGCATAATGGTTGGATGTGTTTCACTTGTTATTATTACTTCTTTCCTCGCGTGGGCCACGCGTTGGGATCGTGTTTGCCGCCTTGGGTGCGCCTGACAATTGTAGTTCTTTATCTTTCCTGTGTAATGCATAATTAAGATTGCATAATTTTCTTACATCCTTTCTGCATGAAATGTGGTTTGGTTCATGTCTACTTGCTTATGTACGAGTTCGCTGTAGCATTTCTTTACATAATATTTGTATCTAGATGCTTCATTAATGCCTCATTGCATGATCATAAGTTATGTACTTGCATTGTGCATATCATTTGCATTTTGCCCAGCCTGCGGGTGCATCTGTATTATTATCTTGATTGTCTGTCTAAGTCTTCGGCCTTGTCAAAAATGGGTTGTCTCTGGGCTTTGACATTCACTCCTGTCATTTGATTACTTGCGAGTTCTGTTAAAGAGGGGCAACTGTAGACACCCCATTTTTGACCGTCCTCAAGACTTGGATGTTCTTGTAGGTACATCTAGTGACAAGTTTGATTGCTCGTCAAGCACTCGAATTCCACGGCAGAGCGCCACAGGTTTGAGCTTTCCAAACCCTGCCTCAATTTTGTCTCATTTTTGGACCCTGTTTTGGTTCTTCTAACATGTTTTTCTTGGTGCACTGCCGGCCATGGACTTTCGCCTGCTGGCCATCACTGATGGCCTGCCGGCCACCAGTGCATCAGTAGATATTTTCTGATATTTTGGTGCTAGCTGTTTGCATAGATTGAAGCATCTGCTTGCACGTGGATGGTTGGATCTTTTCACGTGGATTTTATATCTTCTATATATAGAAGTCATCCTCTTGCATGTGGGGCGTTACATAAATTTTGTGAGAAAAATTTCCTCTCTCTCTCTAGAATTCTCTCTCTCTTCCTATTTTGTGCTTGAAACTGAGAATTTTCTACACATTTTCACTAAGCTCTTTGACCAAACACCTTCACCTTGGAGCTGAGGTTCTTTGAGGCTTGGTTTGTGGTCTTAAGCTTGGTTTTGGCTCAGAATTTTGGCTGTTTTAGTGTTGTGCTTCAATGGTAAAGGCCTACCCCTTTCAAGCTTTGCTTTAGTTAGTTGTTTAGCCACCTTTGCATGTTATTTTGAGGTTGGTTTTAACCTCTAAAAAACTCTGTTTTTATGGTTTAAAATAGTGGTATGAGGTGTGTTTTGGAGTTAGGGGTGGTCCACCCTCTTTTGTAGCTTGTTTGCTAAGGTGTTGTGCCATTTTTCAAAGCTCTCAAAATAACTTTTTTTGGCCTCTTAACCACTGAATTCCAGGGGAGTTTCAGTGGCAAAAACTTGGTTTTGAGGTCCAAAATAGGAGCGGGTGGCCTCCCCTCCTTGTGTTTTGTTTACAAGTGTAGATGGCTTAGCATGTGAGCATGTGTTTCTACTCTTTCGTGACTTGATCTCAGCATGTTTTTGCTACTGATTTAGCATGCTTTAACTCTGTTTTGAGCTGTCTTGGCCATATGAACCTTGTCTTGCATGGTTGTAGTGTAAATGGCCTTCACTAGGTCATTGTTTTAGGTCTCTAACATGTTTTGCATGAGATGATTGCATGTTGTAGCATCATTTAACATGTGATTTTAGTGCATATACCTCTGTCACACTTTCACTTATATCACTCTTTCATTGCTTTTGAGAGTTGTGTTTTGAGCCTTGCTTGCGAGCTAACATGTGCGCATGATTTTCTTGCCTTTTATGCTTCTATCTTAGCATCTTTTAGCCACTGCTTTGGCATGTTGTAGCTCTGTTTTGAGCTGGTTTGGTCATTTGAGCTTGGTATTGCATGCCTCTAGTGTAGTGTTCTTCACTAGTTTAATGCTTTTGGCTTTTGAGCATGTCTTGCATGTGTTGCTTGCATGATTTA